GGCTCGCGGGCTGCTTTCATGTCCTGGCCTGACCCAAAACAACCGACTTTCCAGTAAAAATAACATCCTGCCGGCACGCGTCAGGGGAGCGAGGGGACGGCGGGGACCCTGCACCCCCGGGGACAACCCCTGGGCCACATTTGCAGCGGAAAAGTGGAAAAAATATTTGACGTTGAAAAACCTGAAGTTGCTGGTGAACCACCAACCCCAAGGGGGACTTTTTGGGGATGTGGTGGGTGGGTGCATGGCTGACACGGGCAGGGGGGCTCTGCCCTGACCCCCTCCCCTGCACCAGCCTTCGGTCCTTTGTTTCTTCCCTCCCGGTGACCCGGTTCTGCCAGGCAGCAGAGTACAGGCGAGGGCAGTGGTGGTGCTCCGGTGCTGAAATCACCAGAAATCCTCCTTTTGCTTCTTCTCAGCAGCAAAAACGCCCCAATGGCGGCTCCGTCACAAAGCCAACCCGAATCCTTTCCTCCCATTCCTCCCATTTTTGGGGTGAGCAATCCCCGCCCAGGTGCAGGACAGCTCGCTGGCCCCGTTTTCCTGCTGTCCCCGGGGGACAGGGACGCGCCTTGGCTCTGCTTCACCGTCCTCGTGTCCCAAACTCCAGCTGGCCCCGTGCACCCCGGGGGGTTTGCAGGCTTTCCTCCAGCATCGGAAGCGCGGCCGTGTGCAGGCAGCGCCGCGCCGCTTCCTCCTCGCTGTGTGCAGCTGGAGGGATGAGGCGTGTGGGGGCCTGCACCCCAGGTCCCGCTGCACCCCGAAGGGCTGGGGATTGCTGCTGCTGCTGCTTGGATATTGGGGGGAAATGGGAGGAAAAGCAAAACCTGAAGCGAAACATTGCAGAAAGTGTGTCTGTCTGGAGAGGGGGTGGCTCTGCAAGTGGGGTGTGCAACTGCAGCGTGCAACTGGTGTGCAACTGTGTGCATCTGGAGTGTAAAACTGGTGTGCAAGTGGGGCGTGCAACTGCAGTGTGCAACTGGTATGCAACTGCAGCATAAAACTGGTGTGTAACTACAGCATGCAACTGGTGTACAACTGGAGTGTAAAACTGATGTGCAACTGCAGCGTACAACTGGTGTGCAACTACAGCGTGCAACTGGTGTGCAACTGGTGTACAACTGGAGTGTAAAACTGATGTGCAACTGGAGCGTGCAACTGGTGTGCAACTGGAGCGTGCAACTGCAGCATGCAACTGGAGTGTGCAACTGGTGTGCAACTGGAGAGTGCAACTGGGGTGTGCATCCAGGGTATGCAGTCAGGTGTGCAACTGCGGTGTGCTGGAGTGTAAAACTGATGTGTGCTACTGGTGTGCAACCAGGTGTGCTACTGGAGTGCCACTGGAGCGTGCAACTGGGGTGTGCAACTAGCTGTGCAGCTGCAGCGTGCAACTGGTGTGCAAATGGAGCGTGCAACTGGAGTGTGCAACTGGGGCATGCAACCAGGTGTGCTACCGTAGTGTGCAACTGCGGCGTGCAACTGGGGCATGCAACTGGGGTGTGCAACCAGGTGTGCAGGACGAGGGGGAGCCCACGCTGTCCCCTCCTTGCTGCCATGATGGATGTCCCCAACAGCCGTGGTGCTGGGTTTTCTGGGGGGATTTCCAGCAGCCGTAACCCACCCGTGGTCCTTGATCCAGGAACCAGCCGCTGTTCGCTCTGCGCCAGGAGCTGGGGACGAGGGTCCCACCAGGAGCTGGGGACGAAGGTCCCGCAGAGCCCCTGCCGCTGCCAGGAAACTTCTGACCCGGAGGTCAGCGTTGGGAATAGAAGCTGGGATGCAAAGAAATCAAATCATAGAGCAGCTCGGTGCTTTTTCCCATGCCGCAGTGCTGGCTCTCCTGCCTGCGGGGCCAGTTTTCTGTGTCCTTTTTGTCCCCCGAGGTTTGCTTTGTGCCCCCCAGGCTCCCATGGGAACATGCCCCGTGTCCCCAACCACCCTGTGGCCCATGTC